ACAGAACAAACCGTCGAACAAACAATTACCCTAACCTGCCTCATTAACCTAATTAAACTCGTTAAGTGTTTAAATGTCGCTTTAGGCTGTGTAGAGATAGAGGGAGTATCTTAATTTGTTTTGTTTTTTTTGGTTTATTTATTTTCAAATTTCTGTTTAATGGAAAGCTTAAAGGGGTTAATAATTTTGACCTTAAAATGGTTTATAAAAAATTTAAAACTGCTTTTATTCTAGCCGTAAAAAAAAAATATATATATATATATATGACTTTCTCCAGTAGAAAAAATATTATCAGACATACTGTGAACATTTATTTGCTCTGTTAAACATAATTTGGGAAATATTTAAAAAAAGAAAAAAATTCAAAGGGGGACTAATAATTCTGACTTTAACTGTATATATATATATATATATATATATATATATATATATATATATATATATATATATATATATATATATATATATATATATATATATATATATAGAGAGAGAGATATGAGATATATATATATATATATATATATATATATATATATATATATATATATATATATATATATATATATATATATATATATATATATATATATATATATATATATATATATATATATATATATATCCCAAAACAATTTGTCTTTTATTTTTTTTTATTTTACTCTTTGGGTAGTCCTGTGCTAAAGACCTCACACACACTTTCCCTCAAATTACACTGTAAACATACCACTTTTTTCATTTCTCATGCTTATTCATTGCTCAGAATGAAAATAAGCTTCATTTCTTTTCACTTCCTTTTTAGGTGAGCCTTCACATAACAATCTGCCACAAAAAGGTAATCACGTCTTTCAAATGCAAAGCTGTGCAGTGTTCCAGCTGATTTTCCTTCGTTTTGGATGACATCAGAAAGATTATCTTATAAACACATTTATGCATTTGCATGCTTTTTTTCTGTAGTCATCCCTCATTTTGTCGGTTCTTTTTCTTTTTGCAGATGAGGTTACAAAGAGCTCGTGTTTTGTTCATAAGCAGGTGAGAATCGTCGGTGGCGGGCCTGTCCCAATTAAAGAGGGCAGCTGGATGGTCAGCATACAGAAAGGGTGAGCAGTTTTCAACATATGGAGACTTTAAGTAATATAATGCTCAAATATTGCTGGTGCACTATGAACTTCAACAAACCTGACAAAATGTCTAAAATGTAATTGACAGAAAATGTATTATAAAAGTATGTATGGTAAAAGTTATTATTATATAAATAATGTTTTTTATTTTTGCAAATTTATCATTCATATTGCAGAATATATTACATTTATTCACCAGCATGGACCACGCCACAGATTGAGCTAAACTTTATTGTTGGGATGTAGGGATGGAAGGGATGGTAAGGGAACAGTGAGATAAATGGGAAGAGAAGTAAGAGGATAAACAGTGAACAGGTAAGTAGGTTGATCAGGCATCCTACAATGAAGAACAGAGAGTGGGGGTACCATCTCTGTAATATTTTGGTAGAGTGATTGGACCCCCGATTCAACCTAGGAGGGAATTGGGTTATAGAATTGTTAATGGGAAGCAATAAAATAAGAGGGAGAGTGGGTTTCAGAGAATGTGAAGGACAGTGTTAGAGGAATGGTCTGCCTTAAGTTTTTAGAGAGTAGGTGATTGGTTAAGGAGACAAAGTGAGGCGTGGTTAACAAGGTGAGGTGAGGCCTTTGTTAACAAGTAACTCTATTTTAAAATCAAACTGAAACATGTAATGTAATCAATATGATTTTTTTGTTTAAATTTTATTTATGCATTTAAAATTTTATATAATATTTTATTTATTTATTGCATGTTATTAAGTTCTCATAAGGTCTGTTCATAGATACTTTATACTATTTTTTAATGTTTCTTTATATATATATATATATATATATATATATATATATATATATATATATATATATATATATATATATATATATATATATATATATATATATATATATATATATATATATATATATATATATATATATATATATATATATATATATATATATATATATATATATATATATATATATATATATATATATATATATATATATATATATATATATATATATATATATATATATATATATATATATATATATATATATATATATATATATATATATATATATATATATATATATATATATATATATATATATATATATATATATATATATATATATATATATATATATATATATATATATATATATATATATATATATATATATATATATATATATATATATATATATATATATATATATATATATATATATATATATATATATATATATATATATATATATATATATATATATATATATATATATATATATATATATATATATATATATATATATATATATATATATATATATATATATATATATATATATATATATATATATATATATATATATATATATATATATATATATATATATATATATATATATATATATATATATATATATATATATATATATATATATATATATATATATATATATATATATATATATATATATATATACATATATATATATATATATATATAT